GAACCCAGGACCACCTGCTCAGGGATACCCCACCACCACCATGATGGCCCGGGCCCTCCTACATCAATCACTAACTAAGAAAATGCTCTACGGGCTTGCCTCTAGTCTGATCTTACGGGGGCATTCTTAACTGGGTTTCCCTCCTCTCAAACAACTCTAGCCTATGTCATAGTGACTTAAAATTAGCCAGCATAATGAATAAGGCCTTCTTGGGCCCTTAGTCTTTGCCAAGCTTAGGTCTAAGAACAAGTTTGCAAGCATCCATGTGCTCCCTTGAGCTCAGGGTTTTACTGTCATCAGACGCCAGCTCCAACCTTCAACGTAGTATCCATGTACAGGTCCTCCTCGTGAGCCACTGCTGCGCTACACCGCACCGTGAAACACTGTAGGCTTTGGCTAGGGAAGAAGGGAGATGCCACTGAGCAAGGAGGGGTTCGAGAACCTACGTGTCCACCATGGTGGGAAGGGTTTCACTGGCAAACAGCAATGGCAGAGGGCGGAGGCAGTGCTAGGACTTGTCACATGACAGTGAATTAGTCTGGTTCTCAGAAAAGACAGAGTCGCTGAGTTCCTGAGGCATGGTTGTAGACTATCTCATTCCCATGGAGTCCATTGCAAGCACTGACTGTGATGTACACCCACATTTGAGAGCCAGGCTGGCCAGGCTGGAACTAACATCCTCCCTTAACAGCAAAATGCCCCTAACAGCAGATCACAGTATGAATGGGTGACCGCTAGAAGCCTGATTAGAATCTGCGTCCTGATTGCTGCCTACCATACAATCTCATAGCAAATTTCAGCCTCGATTATGCTGTGTGACCAACTCAAAATGACACAAACACATCAACGATAAAATGAAACTAAAAGACAGAAGGACTCTTCAGAAATGCCTCTTCACCATCTTGCTTTGAAAATTAGAACAGTTCATGATGGCTGAGGCCTCTAGAGAGGTTCTACCTCTTTCTACAACCCCAGGGTCATTCTGCAGGGTAAAGAATCATAAGAATATTTTGAGGGCACATAGACACCTGGCTGTTACCTGTTATGGTGATCTAAATCAATAGCAATATTGATTAAAAAACTAGTTACTCAGAAATTACTACCAAATCCATCTTGTAAAGTACAAGAATGACTTTGTAAACAAACTAGAAACCTGGAGAAGTAAACATGAGCTCTTAAAAACTAGGAGAAAAGGTGTGGTGATACATGCCTTTCAGCCCTCAGGAGGCAGAGACACATCTCTATGAGTTAGAGGCCAGCTAGGTCTAGATTGTGAATTCTGGGGCAGCCAGAGCTACAAAAGGAGAACACTGCCTCAAAAAAAAAAAAAAAAAAACAAGACTAGGAAAAAAAAAGACTAAACCAAACCAAAGAGTAGCTAGCATTAAATTAGAAGTGGTGGTACCATTGAAGTCATGCTTCAGGAGAACTTTTACAAGACTACCAATCCAGTCTAAGGGAACACCACAACGGCAAAGCCAGAGCCCAGACATTTAACCCTGACAAGCCCACTATAACAGGTATAAAATTCTCAAAGTTTTCAGCAGCAGCTTGAAAACTCACAGAAAAGCAGGTGAGTCAAAGAGCAGCAAGCGGCGTTAGAGCCATACCTCGTGATGACGTGCAAAAACTGTGGTGTGAGCACCGCTTGCTGAGACGTCTCAGGATACCAGTAGACTGACATTAACTCAACAGACTTCACAACCATGTACAGATAGCCCACATGAGGTAATGAGAAGAAACAGAAGAGACTCAGAAGCTCTTTTTCCTGAGACAAACTTTTTCCATCAGGAAGAAAACCTGCAATGGAGACAATGCGAGAGAGACGTGCCCTGAGGCTTGTAAGCAAACGGAGAGAATCAGCATCATGATTTTCCAGTGAAGACTAGATGGACTCGACTGTATCCGGAACCACAGAGGTGCTAAGGGGACGTGAACAGTAAGACATGTAAAGGGGAGGAGCTAATTAGGGAAGCACCATTTTGCAACAACGAGTGGACTAAGTCACACTCATCCATGGCTATTAATGTTGTAGTGCTCACCAGTAACCATGGGCTTGCACAACAAATAATAATAGCCTGAGTCTACATCGGCATGGTCAATAAAAATGTAATTATTCCACATCTACAACTTAAAGTTTTCTACTGTTTCCAAAAAGTAAAAAGAAACAGGAAAAGGTTTTTAGTAATATTGTCCAGCAATTTAGCATAGCTAAAACACTGCCATTTCAACAATCAATGAACAACAAAAAAACAAATGTTTTGGATTATAGTACTAAACATTAAAGTCTGTGGTTTATACTTACAGTATATATCAGTTTCTGTAAGTTATATTTCAAATGCTTAAGGGCAACTTACAGTTAATACCATACTGAAAATCACAGACCGAGAGCGAATGACTACTCACAGCAGAACACAGTGGATACAGTGAGAACCTGATAAATGATACTGCGAAGACTCAATCAGCAAAATTCTGATAAGAAGCTTTACAGTAAAAGGCCCAATTTCTTGCTACAGAAATTGCAAAAAGAGAATGAGAAGGTTAACCCCAAATAAGACACAGAAATCAACTGAGATAAATCTAACTTGCTTATGTACCTCATTCAAACAAATGGATTGTGTGTTGGGGGAGGGATCTTTAGAGGGTCAGGAAAAACGAGTACCCTGAAAAGAGACCTGACAACAGCATGGAATTTTTACATGAGAAGCATCTTGAATTCGTTAAAATAAAACATCCTCAGATTCTGTTTAGAGAGATATTTATGTAGAAAATGTACAGACGTTAGAATACTCATCAAAATAACTGGGAATGGGGCAGGATACTACCATGGGTAAATTGTGGATTGGGATGGGGGAGTTATTGCAGTATTATCTCACTATCTAAATAAGCTTCAAATTTTTCATAACCAAAGTTTTTTGTTTTGTTTTTTTTTAAGTTTTATTCCTCCTTCTACGATACCCATTGATACTGAAAGTCCAACTCTGCACTAGCCCAAAGCCATCTCCATTTCCTCTTTCTAGTACACATCTGAGCTCTAGCTAAACAGAATTGATCTCTAAGCACATGACAATATTGCAGCTTACATATGTTGGTTCCTCTTATGAAATACCTTACCAGATTCTTCCGCTTCTAAAATACCCACTCAGCTGGGACCCAGCTCAAACAAAACCACACATCTACAGTCATTCGCGCATTCAATACATTCTCCCTAGGTGCCTCCTGCACTGCTGCTCTTCGAGATTCTAGGGAGATGCACAAAACAAGGTGACTTCTTCCACAGAGCCCTCACCTTCTAGCGATGGGAACTGGGACAGGGAACAAACAAGTAAACTAAAGTGAAGAGAGATTTCTGAATGGAGAGATCCAGGGGCCTGAGTGACAGCGTAGCAATTAAGAGCTCTTGACGCTCTTGCAGAGAGCCTGAGTTCAGCTCCTAGCAACCAAGTTGGGTGGCTCATTTTTAGGATTCAGGCATTATGTTGGCCTGTCACCTGGCAGGATGCACTCAGGCAATACCCTGGTCCAATGGATCCTATGTCAATACATAGTGCAAAGGTCCCTTTAAGAGGCAAACTCCACCCACCCTTGATCCCCCACCCCCTGTTCCTCTAAAGGGGCAGGCACGACTTTTCCTGTATCTTCTCTTTCTCTTCTCTCTCTCTGTCTCTTTCTCTTCTTTCCCCCTTTCCCTTCTCCACTCCCTTCCCTTCCCCAATAAAACTGTTGGGCCCCAACCCCACGGGCTCTCTGTGAATTGCTGGTCAGCCTACAAGTGCAACCTGTTTTCCAGTCCAAGTGCTTCCTGTTTTCTAGTCCTGGCTTACTGCCCCGGCCTTGACCCTCTGACATCAACATTCAGCAGGAAGAAAACATGATCTCTTCTACCTGGGGTTTTTCCACTGTGCTATAAACCTGTATATAAAGCTCGTCCCTCCTACAAGAGAGACACCTCTTAGTACTTGCAATGAAGACACACACACACACATTCTCTGGGCAATAAAGGCAGCACATGCTTAGTACAAACAAGTGGACGTCTGGTCTCTCTTTTCCTGATACCCTGGATTTGACTGTGGCGCGGGCGCCGCAAAAACTTCCTTCCCATATAATTTCTTCCTGCTGGCATGTTTGTCCCCCACCATGGCATCTGCTGAGGTCCCACCTCACATCAGATTATAACACTCATAACCCCCTGGGACATCTTCATTGGCCTCTGCCAGTACCACTTACATGTGCAAGCCCACATTCAGGTTCACATATACCCATATAATTAAAAATAAAAGTAAGTCAAACTGAGAGAACCAGGGAAGTCACTCCTCTGTGGTAAGGTGACATTAGAGTTGTGCACTAAATAGTGTGAACACAGCACTCACACGGGACCTGAAAAAGCACATTCTAGGTCTAGGTAGAAGAAATAATAGACTTTACAGACAAGGAGACTTGCCATATCTGAGGCTGGCAGAAAGGCGGCTGTGGAGAGAGAACAGTATACAGGTCAGGCTGAGACAAGATGAGTTCAGAGTTAGGTCACATTGGCCACGGACGATTGGAACTTTTTATTCCAGCTGTTGTGGGAGGCTCACTGAATGAAAGAGCTGACCCTCTGACTGGGCCCCGTCTGATCTGCAGTCTCATACCACGTCCCCTTTGCTTTACTCCACTCTCTTCTTGGCTCTTTCAGTTCCTCAAACACAGATTCTCGGCCCAGCTTTGAAACTTCCTCCACTTAAAATACTCTCTTCTCCTCCCTTTGTGGAACCCATCCGAATCCCCAAGTCAGCACAATTCACCCTACAGATCTAGTCTCAAGACGAAGCCTTCCTAGACTCTAGAGAAAGTCAGGGTCTTTTGCTAATGGCTTTTGCTACCAGGAGCAAAAGCATTATTCCATAGAGCATTATTCCAGTGTCTAATTTTGCCAGAGACTTGCTGTAGCAAAGTGGTGTCCAGGACCAAAGAAGCTGAGTGGAGTTTGCAAAGGAAAGGAGGAGGGAGGCACAGTCTGACGGTAAATCAGGATGGCTGCCAGCAGTGTTTATTGAAAAAGAAATACACCTTTTGTACTTTATAGTTTAGCCACAGGAAAGATTGAAAGCAGATTCAATGATTCATGGACAAAAAGCAGCCATTAACTTAATTATAGCATTTTTTTTCTAAAACAAAGCTAGTATCTAAATGTCTATTGTCCTCAGAAGTTCAGTAACTCTACCAGGAACCCTCTTACATCAAGGAAGGGGCACAAGTTCCTCCTGCCAGTTCATAAGGAGAATGACGGCTTTTAGCAAGCAGGAACTTTCCTCAAGGCCCAGGAGGGATGGAGACCCTTATTTATCCAAATGCCTGAACTTGGGAAAAGGACTTCCCCAGGGACCAGACATTCCACTATAATTTCAGAGCATTTTCGTCCTCAAGGGGGTAATCATGGAGCTGCTCCCTAAGTGTGTCCCTTTGTGTCTTAGTCTTACTATGCGAGCCTGTTCCTCTCACACACTCCAAAAGTGGAAGGTCCCGATGTCTTGCTCTTTTCCCACTGTACTGTACCATTCTGACTTCTCTATATTTATTAACTGAACTCTTGCCCCCAAGTGGCCTCAGACTCGGGATCTGGATTGTAGGAGTTTCATGCTTGGGGTCAGATGTGTCTAGTAAATCTCTAACTTTCCAGTTCTTGGTGTAATTAGGAGGCACAATGGGATGCCTGGTTCCTTGGTGACAGGGACTTTTTTTCCAGTGAACTATTTTTTTAAAGAGGCTGCTGTTTTACACATTTTTGTCCTTTAAAGCCCGCACAAAATTTCTCAAAAGAAAAGGCATAAGGGAACTCTCATAACAAATACTGAGAATCATTAAAAATGAAAGTTACAAGGTGCTGGAAAAGTGTGGTCTGCAGTTTCAAATGTTGGAACTTTGACAAGCCACAATGGTCGCCATTAGGTCCATACCACACTTTTGTCAGTATTTGATCAGTATCTGATCTTACCATTAGATAATTAACTTCATAAGCACAAGCATGTTGCCTACTTTTATTCAGTACTCAGCACAACAACAGTAGCTACTCAATATTTACTTAAAAATAACATTATAAAGACATTGGATTATAGCAACATTTATATCTCTCCAGAAACATATCATGAGCAAGTGCAGAGTCTTCTGGTATCAATTTTGGTGCTTTTCTGGTGAGTACTTAAAAGATGCAGGTGCCTGAGTCCAAAACAGTCCTATTAAGTCAGAATCAAAATCACTAGCATTGTTCTCATAGAAGGTCCCATGTAGCACAGGCTAGCCTAGAACCCACGGGTCATCATCTGAGACCCTCAATTAAAATAATGCCGGTGATTCTGATTCTGACCTAATTGAACTGTTTGGGACTCTGGCTACATCTCCCATATCAGTACTTTTAAGCATCCAGGTGAATGTAATGTGCAGCAGTGTTGAAAACTAGTGTTCTGAATGAGTTTCCACTCAGACCAGGTTTCTCGCCTTGCTTATGAGGCCATCCCAAGAAACTTTGTCACAGGGGAGGAGGGAAGGGAGAGGGAGCTGGGATTGACATGTGAAGCAAGCTTGTTTCTAATTTAAATAAAAATAAGAAGAGAAACTTTGTCACATACTCAGCTGGAACCTGGATAGATCTCTCCTCCAACAGTGCTCACAAATTTCTTTTACTGGGCCTACAGACTATTTCAAAACAACTACAACAACAAAAAAGGAATTGAGTTTTTTCTGGTCACACCCTCCTAGTTGATTCACTTCTCCTAGCCAATGTGACTTTGCTCTCCTCGGGAAGACTCTGAAGGAGAACCAAATCTAATGCCTACACACGGGTCCTCCCTCTAGTGCGGGGCCTTGTCACCTCTCTGCACCACAGCTCAACTATACTTACCTGTTTGGTGAATAGGCAGCAGCTGAAGAGAATGTAACTTGATGTTATCAGACAAGGCATAGAACGAAATATCGGGAGCAAACCGTCTGTGGGTTTAAGAAGAGAAAGAGGACAGATCTAACTTCCATAGACTTTAAGCAGGCCTGTAAATAAGAAATGCTGGTGAATAAAAGGTGCTCTCATACCTATACAGCAGGTGCTGTACACTTAAATATTTTACGTTTTCATCTGCCAATCCTGTGGGCTCCAGTTTAACAGATATTCCAGACTGTTTACATTTTTCACCAAGAAGCTCCATGGGTTTTAGGCAAATGACAAAATCCTCTGATTCAAGCTGTGAAGCTTCATTACTGACATCTTAAAAAATAACATTTGAGAGTTTAACAACTGTAAGTACTACCATCTGCCTGAATGAACACTGGACATGGCATGTGCCCTCATGTTTCCACTGCTGTGATGCAACATCATAACCAAAAGCAACTGAACATCAAAGGGTTTGTTCCCGTTCACAACTCTCAGACCACACTCCACCACTGAGCCAGTCAGAGCAGAACTCTGAGTAGCAGCTGATGCAGAGAGGTCATAGAGGCATACTGCTTACTGGCTTGCTCCCCATGGCTTGTTCAACCTGTTTTCATATACACCCCAGGACCACTGCTCACAGGTGGCACCACCCACAATGGGCTGGGTCCTCTCACATCAATAATTAAGAAATGCCCCCCAAGATTTGCCTAGAGGTCAGCCTTATAGAGATGCTACTTCAATTAAAGTTCACTCTTTAAGAATTCTAACTTAAGTTGGGGACCAAAAAAGGCAACCAGGACAATGCTATCCAATGTCATTAAATATTGAATATGACAGCCAAGACTAGAAACTCATGCAGGACAGGCATAGGGACTCACAACTATAATGCCTAGACTCAGGAGCCTGAGACAGAATGATCCCCAGTTTGAGGCAAGCCTGAACCAAGTGAGTTCCAGGTCAGCTGGGAACATATTGAGACCCTGTCTCAAAAAATAAAAGAACACCAACTGTTTTCTCTCTAGAAACCCCTCATCTAACAGCAATTGCTCCATTACGCACATACTGACAAATAGATGTAGAAACAGAATAAGCTATGGATAGTCACAAACCCAAACCAATGTAATAAGAATACCTAAACCTATAAGAATAGCAGCAAACTATAGATGCTGGGGTTCTTTAGAAAGTCAAATTCATCATTTACCTTCCTTCTGTTTCAGTTGGTTGTTGGTTTTTGGTGGGTGGTGTTTAGCTCTCTCTCCATTTGTAGAGTCTGACTCCAGTTTGAAGATTAAGACTTCTAAGTCAGACATGACAGCAACATACCCAACACAGAAAGAAATTTCAACAGGAATGACATTTTCTATGTGTATAATTAATGAACGCTCAAAGTCCAACACTGAGAAGTTCTCATTAATGATACAGTACTTCAAAGTAAATAAGACTAACTTGTTGGTGCAGCCAACAAGTAGATCTCCTTTCAAAGGACAACATGAAATGCACAAAGGAGCCTCCGACAAAGGCATTTCAACTATAGACATCTGGTCTCTAAGACTTTCACAGAAGGGCGCCTCCACACTGTGCCCAACCATCCGGATGCACACGCGGGAGGTTTCAGTCCTCGTACTCCTCCAGTTCAGGTAAGCACGCAGGAACGTAGTATTGCTTTTCTCTTCAATTGCCACCAGATAGTCTCCTAAAAAATGAAGCAAGATTGCATTTGGAATTTGGATTTGGAAATTCAACCACTTTCTTTGCTGCCTGAAAATGGGATGCATAGTATAATATATGGATAACTGACTCAAAAGAACAAAGCTGCCCTCTAAGTGACAGAGGTCTGTGTTAAATGATGTCAGCCATGGAAGTTCTGAGATACAGTCTCTTCCCATCTGAGTGTCCTACAACAACTCCTTTATTATTCACATAACAAAGAAAATTTCCACTTTATTAACTCTTATCACAGTTGAAAGTTCTACTAAGTTGTAGCAGCAATATTGTGTAATTTATAAAATTCAGGTAGGAATTAAGGGACTCTGAGTTTAACAGAATTTACATTTGACGTCTCCTTCCCTTCCTACAGAAGTCACAACTCTAAAAAGGAGGCTAATGCTGGGCATTGGTGATGCACACCTTTAATCCCAGCACTTGGGAGGCAGAGGCAGGCAGATCTGTGAGTTCGAGGCCAGCCTGGTCTACAGAGCGAGTTCCGGAACAGCCTCCAACACAATACAGAGAAACCCTGTCTCAAAAACACCAAAAAATAAAAATAAAAATAAAAATAAAAAGGAGGCTAAAACTAGAGATACCAAATAAAATATAAATCCAAGTTAGTAGTCTTTTAACTGTTTATTATATGGGATTGTTTTAACTGTAAAAGTAACATTCTTTATAGAAACCAAAATTATTAAATACAAAATGAAAACATAAAGACCTCCCCCCTTCAAAACACTTTAAACACTTTCTCTCATATAAACATGGGTCAAGAAAGGCTTTTTGTCATCTTTATATACCATACTAATATATTTAACAATGTGCCATTTTTAAATTCATGTTTAACTCAATAATCACATTTTGTTGTAACAATACCTGCTTTATGAATTAACAACCTCAAGCACACAGGTTAGCAACTTTCTTGGGGGGAAGAAGTCAAAGAAACAACCTTCAATTATTTAAACAGTGAATAAATCTTTTCCTCCATGCGGATACATGGCTATCCATCACGCACCATCCCAACGTAACACACAGATATATTAATATCTGTAAAAATATCCTATATGCACACGTGCCACAGCTACTTAACAATTCCCGTATTAATGTAGGAAGATTACCACTATACTTTATTCTGTAACAAATAAGCCGATACCTATATAATTTGTTTTATGTTGGAAATTTATGTTGGGCCACAGAGCAAACATTATTAGAAACTGTCAAGTTACCACCATAATTAGATAACTGAAATTCAGACGGCCAGCAAAACTATTTATACATTCCTGTTTGCTACCACCTCAGGGGTCATGCACGCTATATATACCAGTCGCTACTTGAACTCACTACATAGCCCAGGATGCCCTCAAACTCGCCAAGATCCTCCTGCCCTGGCCTCTTGGGTGCTTATGCAATCACAACCAGCTGCTTTATGATAATTTTTAAATACGAACTATACTGTGGGTTTTGAGTGTATTACTGGGACTTGAATTTGCATTTCCCCGATGAGTAGGGATGCGGAGTCCCTTTGGCATGCTTTTGGACATGGCATGTCTTCTTCAGAGAAATGTCTATTCAAGTCCTTAGCTGTGTGCTGTTGGGGCTCAAACCCAGCACCTCACTTGCTCGGTCAGTTGCCTATACACTCCAGTTTCATTTGCTCATTAAAAAAATCAATTAATGGATTTTCCTCTCACCAAATTAGCTTATTGTATATTTTAGACCCCAATTTACAAATACCTTTTCAAATCTTTTGAATAGTTCTTTCCACCTATTGGTAGAATACATACCCCAAAATCTTTGATTTTGATAATATCTAATTCATCTACTGTCCTTTTACTGCCTATATTTTTTTATATTTAAGTTAGTAAATAACATTTTAAAATAAGTATATTTGTTTAGTTACAACAAAATCTCTTAATTCATCTATCTATAAATATATATAATGTTTACAAATGAAATAATGTATCTGCAAGCTGTAGGTCATATCCACATTGTATTGTATGTGATTTCAGATTAATGACTGGTTCTGTAAATGCTGAAGTAGCACTTGCGAAGCAGGCCTCCTTAACAAGTCTCAGGAGCCCACTGTTAAGTTCTCTGTAAATCCTTACATGACCCCATCGGGATAAATATCTTTCTTCAAATTTTATAGTTCAGCAACAGTCAACAAATGGCGTACTTAATTAGTTCAAAGGCTTATGCTCATTCTGCAAACTGTTAGAAAGGAAATAAAAACTTATAGTGTTCCATATAACCTTTAAAGGGAGGACCTAACTTTGAAAACAATTATGCTCCTGGTGCACCTTTAAATATAGGCACAGAGTGGGGAGGGGGGGCACTAGTTCTGTATACTTGTACTAAAGTGCTAAAGAATCCCTTGTGCTGGTTCAGTACACAAGGAGAGCTGTATGGTCTTCACTTTCCTGACCCACCAACCACAAAACCTCATAAACACATGTCCAGCAATAGGGCCTTCATCACTGCCCTAGCTACTGGTCTCTCTATCTGTTGGTTATCCCTCCTCTTAACATCACACATGCACCCTAAATTCAATTTCCATTATCCCTGATGATGTGAAAAGTTCAAAACTTACCTTCTAAATTGTTAGCACTTTCTCCTTAATATTCTTGCAATGGTTCATCATTTCAACTTGACTGAACTAAGAAACACCTTAGAGCAATAGCTCTCATTGTTTCTTGTGAGAACATTTCCAGAAATGACTAGATCATGATCTCTGGCCTAATGAATCATTAATCCACTGGTAGATTTAAATTTTGGAGACTTTAGTGTGGTGGAGGTAGAACTGTAGAAAAGAGTCTGGCTAGAGGAACAGGACATCTGGAAACTCTATCTTGCTCTAGTCCCTTCCTGTCATGAAGGGTCCAAAAATAGGAATATGAAAATGAAGAACCCGGGAATAGGAATATAGAAATATAGAAATGTAAATATGTAGTTTACAAAGAAGTAGGAGTTGACAGTCAACAGCCCTGTCAGCAGTTACACACTAATGTTTTTTATATATTTCTATGTATGTTTATTTCAAATATACGTATTATTATTTAAATTAGAAGCAATCTTATTTTACAAATAATCCCAGTTCCCTCTCCCTCCCATCCTCTCATGCCCCTCACCGACCCTCCATCCCATCCCGATTCTGCTTTCCAGGGAGGATGAGGCATTGCATGGGGGGTCATCAAAGTCTGCCACATCATTTGGGGAAGGGCTAGGCTGAGATAGTATCCCTCTATGGGGAATGGGTTCCCAAAGTTCATTCATATACTGGGGATAAATACTGTTCCACTACCAGAGGCCACATAGACTGCCCAGGCCTCCTAACTGACACCCACGGTCAGGAGGCCTGGTTCGGTTCTATGTTGATTTCCCAGCTATCAGTCTGGGGTCTATGAGCTCCTCCTTGCTCAGGTCAGCTGTTTCTGTGGATTTCCCCAGATTGATCTTGACCCCTCTGCTCATCACTCCTCCCTCTCTGCAACTGGATTACAGGAGTTTGGCTCAGTGCTTAGCTGTGGATCTCTGTTTCTGCTTCTATCAGGTACTGGATGAAGGCTCTAGGATGGCATTTAAGGTAGTCATCAATCTCATTATAGGGGAAGGGCATTTAAGGTAGCCTCTCTACCACTGCTTAGATTCTTAGTTGGGGTCATCCTTGTGGATCTCTAGACATTTCCCTAGTGCCAGATTTCTCTTTAAACATATAATGACTCCCTCTATTAAGGAATCTCTTTTCTTGCTCTCCAACTCAACTCAGTCTTCCTAGTCCCTCATGTCCTCCTCCCTCCCTCCTCCCCTTTTCTTTCTCCTAACTCCCCCCCTCCATGCTCACAATTTGCTCAGGAGATCTTGTCTGTTTCCCCTTCTCCGGGGGACCAGGAATGTCTCTCTTAGGGATCTCCTTGTTTTCTAGCTTCTCTGGAGGTGTGTTTGTAGGTTGGTATAGAGATTAACTTTTACCAGTGGCATTCCTTGCTTTATGACCAGCAGCCCTGTCTGTGACCAAAAGTTAGCAGCTTTCAATGGCTCTCTGCAGCTAAGGGTTAGCTCTTAGATAAACCTCCTGCCACTTATAACCAACAATTGTTGTGAACCTGTTTGTAAGTGACTTTCTGTTTGCATTCTTCCATGTTCTTCCCTGCCTTGGGAAACTGGCAGTGCCAGAGAAGTGTAGAGTTTCAGTAAACACCCTTAGAAATGCACAGGAGAAACAATAAGCTAATTCAAACACCAATTTAGTCAAATACCTTGTTAATGGGAATTGTAAAGAGCAATCTGTACCTGTTTTGCCTCAAGATTGTAAAAATTCTTTTGTCCATGTCTAATGCTTACTTCTTACTATAAGAGAGGAGCTAGGAGTCCACCCCTATTGCAGTTTCAGAAGCCCAAACTCTGGCTATGGTCTCAGTTAACTAATAAGTTGTTTGTACCTGAGGTGACTTGACATAAAGCTCCCCACCCTTTGCAACCCTAGACCCACCAGTTACAGTTTCACTTTACTTTCTGGTCACCAGGATGTAACAGGTACCTGTGAGTAGGGATTGAGGGAGCCTGGAGGCCAGGCTGAACCCTGACATGCTGACAGGCACCACAGGTTAATCTGAGAATCATCATCCCTTTTGCTGGAGGGAAGGGAAATGACTCCTTCTGAACCAGCTTCACAAGTTCACAAGGAATGCTGGCTTTTATCCAACTGCCAGAAATCCCCCTATAGTCCTCATTTCTGGATATTTGGACTGCCTTTTGGAGTTTCGGGCTTGGGGTTTCCTTTAGACCTGACAGTAAGAAAAAGAAAATACTTTCTGCTTGGGTAGAAGACCTACAAAAACAAGGAGAGATTTGCTACAGCAGAGAACACTGGGCACTGGGAACACAAATCTTCAGGTCCACATACTGAGAATATGGAAGAAAAAAAAAGGCTAAAGGAGAAGTCAAAGGCAGGTTTTCTGGGCATAGGCACAGCCAGGAGTCAGCCTATTAATGTTTGGTCATGCATGGATTAAAAGAAGTTACGCTCAGAGGCTGAAGTTCAACTGTGGACTGAAAGCTACCTTTGAGTTATATGGCCCATGATGCTAATACCATCCCACATGACTCTGAAGTTCTTTAAGGCAGCCAACTTGATTACAAAAGCATTTTTGTTCTTCCAGGTTTCATTAATGAGGTTATCACAGTTTAGTGCTAGCCTCCTGCAGTCAGTGTGGCTCAGGTCATTAGTACCCAACCCAGCTAAGCATTTGAAACACTCCAATGTTAGCTTCACTCCAGAGAAATTTAACATTGTTTCCAAAGGTGTTGCCCAGGAATGGGAGTTGTTGCTTTTTGTTTGTTTGTTTGTTTTTCTTGTAAGCTTTCTAAATGACTCTTAGGCACAAGTAGCAGCAATGCAAGGACTCCAGGAATCAACACTAATGACAGGCAAGAAAACCACCCATTGCCTCAAATTTTGGAAGAAGTATACCTTTAAAAGAGAGGGGCCTCTCTCTCCCCTCTCCCTCTCCCTCTCCTCCCTCTCCTCCCTCTCCCTCTCCCTCTCTCCCCCTCTCCCTCTCCTCCCTCTCCCTCTCTCTCTCTCTCTCTCTCCCCCTCTCTTTCTCTCTGTCTCTCTCTCTATGTATTTAAGAATTTTCAGAAGTAATAGTGACTTACAGACATAAAAGGGCTAGCTATGGTTTAGGATAACTTTTGAGGTAGAGCATACCGTGAACTTTAGGATATCATTTTCCCTCCTCTTTCTTTAGTGCAATGTTTGAAATTTCTTACATTGATGTTTTTAAGGGTCTGGCATAAGCGGAACCCAGCCACACGCCTTTAATTCAAGACATGGAAGGGATCAGTCAGCATTCCCTTCCCACAGTAGACCCATGTCTGTGAGGAGTATTTATATTTTGCCTCGAGACAAGATTACCTGTAGCCCGGACTAGTCCAGGACTCACTAAATACCAGAGGACGACCTTAAACTTCTGATCCTCCTGCCTCCACCTCCCAGGTGCTGAGATTACTAGTTGAACAACCTTGGTTCGGAAGATCAGACCCAAGATTTCAGGCAAAATAGGTAAACACTCCACCGAGGCGCTCCAGCTGATCTGTGGTTGCTATGACAACTGCACAAAATGCCTTCAGCACTTTACTACGTGACCGGTGCAGACCGCCCCCAGCTATTACAGAAAAGCACCAGCCCCAGCCCCACCCAGAACCCCGCCCCAAAGCCGCTCCTCACCGGCTTCACTATAGGCCATGCGCAGCACCCTGCCCAGCGTGGAAAAGGAGCAGCGCGGTTTGCACAGCTCTGTTCCCTGCACCGCGAACGCCTCCACCTTGCAGCCCGAAGCCACGAACAGCGCGTCCGGTCCCCCGCAGCAGAACTGCTCTGGCTCCCGCTGGCAGGGGACCACCTGCTGCGACCCGAAAGGGTGCAGGTTGTACAACTGCACCATCCCGGCTACTGCCCCGCAGAGCGGCTTCCGCAAGCTTGCTAGCTGCGCCACATCACGTGAGCGCTGTGCCCCCGCCCTGAGCTTGACTTCTTAAAGAAGCCCTGCCTCCTTGGGGGATGCATTGACATGCACTGCACTGGACAGAGGCAGAGATCTGGGATCCTTCCCTTGGAACTTCACTTTACTGCTTCTGGCTGGACCGGTATTTGGGCCTTTGAATGTGCTTAACTCGATCGTGTGCTGGTTTCGACTTCACTCTTGGCTTCCCGTAGCCTTTGAGCTTCTGAAAGATGGAGCTGCAAAACCTGAACTAGGTGTATACCGCCCAACTTGGATTAAACAAGCCAGAGTTATTCTGAAATACTGTGAATTTTACAATAGTTTTCTTGGAAAGGACAAATCCTTGCATATGCTTAGCAAAAAGATAATGTATTGAATGAAAGAATCTGTGAACATTTTGCAGGCATTTCGCAAAAGAATCCTCTGAGGTCTAGATAATAGAAAGGAAGGAGCAAAATCCCCCGATGGCTAATATTCCGGTACAGGAGAAACTTGATGTCTGAATTTCTATTTTTTGGGAGATTTAATAAACCAGATATGATAATAGTTTTCAACAATTCTAGGAAATGTGTATATATGCATGCACTTTGTATGTTATGTATATGTATGTATGTATTGATTGAGGAATACTCTTCTTATTACATTGGGACAAAAGTGAAAGGAGCAAACTGCAATTCCCGTGTCAGTCATCATTGAGTCCTTTATTCCAAGAATTTATAAAGTGAGAGCAAGTGGACTGAAGTCAAACCTGCTTCCATACCTTCCAGATGAAGATGAATCATGTGCCTCTCAATGATAGCCTTCCTTACTAGGGACACTCTGGGAGACAACAGGTTCATCAAACTCAGTAATCAGAGAAAAGCACAAGGAATGGTTCCAGGTGAAAACCGGGCTACCGAGAAGTAATAGAGGGAATCAAGCAGATCACAACTGGTCTGACACCCATGAATACTTCTTTCTCTTGGACAAGATCTGTCCCTTCTGATTAATTTTCCTCTTCAAGACTGGTCTGGATATTAGTTTGAGATTCATTCAATCCTAGACTTGTACCACCTTCCTTTAGAGACAGCCTCTTCTCCCTTGATATAGTCCTTGCACCCGGCTCACCCAAGGGCCTTTAGAAAGAGATATTTTGTCTTTGTTAACCACTCTGTTCACTGCTGTGACCATCAGATTAGGAGAGGAAATGTTTGTTTTAGGTCAGTGTTTAGGAGAGAGGGTCCAACACAGAGGAAACTGCTTCCACCCAGGCCGATCAGAAAACAGATTGAGGAGAATAGTTTTTTTCCCGACCTCACAAAAGTCAATGGCACTACCAACATTCAAGTTGTGTCTTCCCTTTCCCATTAAACCCTCCCATGAATGCCCCCACAGACACATCAAGAAGTATATGTATGTGATTCTAAGTCCAGTATATTAAATAATAAAGTTAATCATTGTGTGAAGGTAAGGTGGAATGCATGTCTAATCTCTGTGTTTCTGCTCTGTCTCCTTTCATCTGGGAAGTTGGGTAAGTATGAAGGTTGTAGTTTTGCTCCTTTGTCTCTGTATGAAAATCTCTATGAACTGTTTTATTCCGTTTAAAAAGTTGGTTAATATGAGTGCTAAGATACAAGTTGTAGAGAAACTTAATAAAATGTTTCATATGGATTTCCACTCCTGTGAAAATGTAGATTTAAGAACATTCAAGGAATGCCATATGCCATGCATTCACCTTTTGTGAAGCAGATGTTAAACTCATAGTCATCTTGTAATAGGATTATCACTAGAGACTGGAGAAACTTGGATAAAGCTGTTTTAGACCCTGGTCCTCAATTACAATGGAAGACTTGGTAGAAAGATGAACTAAGACCATTGAACAATGAAATATGGCTACAAGTATGGAAGTCTCCTAAGACCAACTTCTTGGAGAAGAAAATTATGTTGATATACAAAGGCAATATTGATATGATGACCATTTCCTGAATTTACTGTACAGCATCTTTAAATGCTAGGGACAGAATTAGAGAAGTAGGAAAGAAAATTGAGTCATTTACTAAAGTTACACAAGGGCCAAAAGGAAGCCTTTATAGATTTCTTACAAAGACTGACTTCAGTAGGAAATAGAATGAAAGCAAATTCAGAAGTTAGACAAATAACAATTGAATCTCTGGCTTTTGAAAATGCTAATGCATAATGCAAAAGGGCAGTTAGGCCATTAAAGGTAAGACCAGCACCCTTGGAGGAATGGAACAGAGCTACAATTAATATAGAATCTCGTGACCATGATCATGCTTGGATAGAAGAGGTAATGTTCAAAGGTTTGAAGAAAAATCAAAATGTCAAGTATTTCAATCATGGCAAACAAGGTCACTTAAAAAGAGAAACATAAAGCAAATATTTTGGCAAGCTTCTATAAATATGACCAAAATTACAAATATGAATAAGTGACATTGTCGGTGAAGGCCTTGTAAACACAGAAGCAGATATCATAATAATGGCACCAGAATCTTAGGATCCAAATTGGCCTTTTTAGGAGGTAGATGTTCACCTTTTAGGGCTTGGAAATTTATCTCAGACAAAACAGAGTACAACACGGGTTGAATGTAGAGAGAAAAATTAAAGCCACATGTGGCTAACATAGCAATGAACTTACAGGGACATGATTTGTTACAGCAATGAAATATGCAGATTAACATTCCTCCAATCTCAGAAACAAACCATAAACTAATATATGTTTCTGGAAAATATATTAGAAAGTATTATAAAGAGCAGTAACTGACCATTCAAGTTGTACAAGCACAAGGCACAACAATTGCTGATCTTTCAAAGACACCAGCAGCCCTACCTTTAAAATGGTTGATGGACAAAACTGTATGGGTTAAGCAATGGCCTTTAATAACAGAAAAATTACAAGCCTTACAACAGCTGGTACAGGAGCAGTTAAATGCTCAGCTTATTGAAGAATCAACCAGCCCTTGGAATTCTCCTGTATTTATTATTTTTAATAACATTATTTGTTAATGTTATTAAATTAATATAAATAATGTTATTAAAAAGAAATCTGAAAAATGGAGAATGGTAACAGACCTAAGAGCTGTTAATAAGGTGATTCAAACAATGGACTCTTTACACACTGGAATTCCTTTGCCTTCTTTATTACCTATAGGATGACCTCTTTTAGTTATTTATTTAAAATAGTTTCTTAACTATAACTTTACCAGAAAAGACAGAAAAATTTTTGCTTTTGTGGTGTCTACTTATAATAGTTCTCAACCTGCTAAGAGATACCAAGTTCTCCCACAAGGAATGCTAAATATCCCCACTCTGCCAATATTTTGTAAATCAGCCATTGGAACTATTATGTAAGCAATTTCCCCAATCTATAGTTTACCATTATATGGAGGATAGTTTACTAGCTGAAACAAATGTAGATTCTTTATGGTAGAAGTTACAAATTGCTTCTGAAAAAAATACAAAGAGGATATTCTACTAATTATTTTAGGATATAAAATAGGTGTACAGAAAATTAGACTCCAAAAGTTACAAATTAGGAGAGATCAATTGCTGACTCTTAGTGACTTTCAATGATTACTAGGAGATATTTCTTATATAAAGTCCACTATTGGAATAGAAAAAAAATGAACTAATTTGTCCAAAACCTTAAATGGTGACAAGGACTTAAATAGGCCAAGAGAATTATCACTGAAGCTGAGAGAGAATTAGTTTTCATGAAAAAGAAATTACAGGCCAGGTGGTGGTGGCGCACGCCTTTAATCCCAGCACTCAGGAGGCAGAGGCAGGTGGATCTCTGTGAGTTCGAGATCAGCATGGTCTACAAGAGTGAGTTCCAGGACAGCCTCCAAAGCCACAGAGAAACTCTGTCTTGAACCCCCCAAAAAAAAAAAGGAAAAGAAAAAGCTTGGTGCTAGAGATAGAGAGCATGCACAGGGTTCTGGGTCTGAGACGCAGCAATGAGTTAGGGGTAGGGAGCTAGAATGTATTTTACAGTGAAGGCTATTTCAGTTGACACTAGCCAGTTCCCAGGGTTCAATAGCTACACCGGACAAGTGGCTTGTGAACTTGGACTGACAACATGGATACTCCAGGTCTAGGGCATCTAGGGGGCAGTTGCTGCTCCCATTCCTCTGCCAGCCCTCACTGAGAATGTGCTAGAATGCAAATAAATCAGGAAAGGCAGGTTACAAATCAGAAAATTTAAGTAAAGTGGCTCAAACCCTTTATGATTGTGCACAAAAGTCAGAATTATATGATATTCTTATGGTATTAATGGATTTTACAGAACCTTTCAATATAGTTACTGATTTGCAATATACAGAAAGAGGGTTTTGCATATTGAAACTGCTGAATTTATACCAGCTGATACAGAATTCACTTTATTATTTCTTCAGTTCCAAGAAGTAATCAAGAATAGGAATCATATATATATATATATACACATACATATATATATACACATACATATCTCACATCCAATCCCACATGTGTCTGCCAGGTCTCTAGCACAAAGTAATGATGAAATTGGTCAACTATTAATAGGAAATGTGCTGGAGACCTCAGAATTTCATAAAAACAAAACAACAACAAAAAAAGCAAAACAAAACATCATGTCAATAGCTAAGGTTTGAAAAAAGATTTTTCTATCACTTGACAAAACAGGCCAAGGAACTTATAAGGAACATGTCCTTGTCCTTTATACAAAGAAACTCTACTACCACTGAACAAATGAAACATCTGAAGAAAAAAAAAAAAAGACAATTCCAAATGTAAAAGTCTCATGAAAAAGACTGAATTGGCTTATTGGTATATCACATCTCCAACAAGATAAAACTTCATAAATTTCCCCAAATGTTTGTTACCTTTCTCTTAGTCATACTTTGGAGCAATCGTGTCCTCACTTTATGTATCTGGTGCTAAAACCTGCAATGGGCTATAAATGGGCCTCTTTCTAAGGAACCCAGTCTCCTAACTGAACCTAGTTTCTGATTTGA